TGAATCAAGAATACAAAACTTGTAGGTAAAATAGTTTATATTTTAGGAATTAGTTTACAAATTTTTAAAAATGAACATACAGATAAACTCGTAAATTTAACAGACTTTTCAAAAAATTTCACAGTTTTTTTTCCATGTAAGTGTCATTAAATTAGTGAATAACGTTCAGTGACCGTAGAACAAACTCAACTCTGAATGATTCATCATGGATTGGCAATAAAAGATAGTAACTAAATAAAAAATTTATTTGATTAATATCTGGACATAGAGATAGTGATATTGACAGTCGTGTATTTCATCGAACAAAAATCACAAAATAAAAAGTCACTTGACGGATTTCATCGATATAATTTTTATTTACGCTCGGGCAAGTCGAGAGGCCATTATTAAAAAACGAGAAAATAAAAATGGAAGAATTGAAACTAGACCAAAAATGAAAGCCTAGAAATAAAAGCGTTACATATATATGATATATCCATATATTTTGTATATCTATATAGGTATTTTGACAATGAATTTTGATGTATGTCACGTACGCACAAGTAAATACAAATACAAATGCAGGGCAGTTTGAAGTGACGCTCTTGGTTTGACGCAGTAAGGTTAACGAGGCACACACCAGCTGCCCTGAGCGTTTGCATGGTATACAAATTCAAGCATCAACGCCAGAGGACCCAGGACCTATATAGCTGTTGTGAGCATCAAACCCGCTGCAGCTCTCCAGGGGAAGACTGTGTTGAGTGATTCTCGTAGGCAGATAGGCGACAAAACCGGAAATTGCCGCTGGCAGCGATTGTTGATAGTGACCAATCATGTCTAATGTAGTTCAGATAGAAATCGACATTTTATTTACGCTATTAATATTTATGGAATTATATTCTGGTCAGTGATATTTATACAAATGTTAACTTCGTAGCAATAGATTTATACACGGAGAGAAATTTATAGGAATCTTTCCAACAATTATGGGAATGGATCCTATAATAAAATTATCATTATAGGCATTAATCCTATACTCATTATGGGAACCATACCCATAATTTATTGGAAACGTTCCTATACAATAACGGAATAGCTTCAATATATTATGGGAATGGTTCCTTTAATATTATAGGAATGGTTCCTATAATATTATAGGAATGGTTCCTATAATATTATGGGAATGACGCACATAATAATAGAAAAAAGTTTATTTTCTTAATAATGAAGCAATCACTTTAAAAATATAAAATAATTATTATGTATTGTTTTGCTAATAAAATTTTTTTTTGTAATTGATTTTAATTAATTTTTAATTAAATTTTTTTTTTTAATTAATTTTATTTTAATTTACAAGCATGTATACCATTCAAGATTAAAAAAATATCAACTGCTGCAACTGATTAATTTCATAATGATAATAATAATAAATATTATTACTGATAACTTTTTTTATCAATTGATATATTATAAAAAAAGAATCACTTAATCAAAAAAAAATAAATCTAGTGAAAAGTAATTAATTAAATACCACAGTTGTGTGAAAAAAAATTACTCCAATATTATTGGCATCATTCCTATAATATTATGGGAATGGTTTCCATAATATTATAGGAATGGTTCCTATAATATTATGGAAACTATTCCTACCAACAGTTGTGTGAAAAAAAAATTCTCCAATATTATTGGCATCATTCCTATAATATTATGGGAATGGTTTCCATAATATTATAGGAATGGTTCCTATAATATTATGGAAACTATTCCTATATATTATGGGAACCATTCCTATATATTATGGGAATCATGCCAATATTACAGTTTTAATTATAGGTATCGTTCCTATAATTATAGGAACCATTCCCATAATTATAGTAACGTTTCCCAAAAATTATGGGTATAATTCCCATAATTTAAGTAATCGCTCCTATAATGGTATAGGAAAATATTTCATTAAAATTATAGGAATGATTTCCATATTTTTCTCTCCGTGTATCAAACACAATAAAAAAATTTAAAATCTACGTATTTCGAAAAAATTATTTTTTAAATACCGTATATTTTTTTAGAATTTGAAATTTTACTATTATATTATTGAATGAAATTACAGTTCAGGACAGAATTGTAAACAAAAATATCATCAGTGTCGAGTAATACTGTTTACTCTCTTGATCCTTAAATTTAAGGACCACTCATCTTTACATTTTCAAACCAATTAAAAACGAAACAGTAAAATGGAAAAAAAAGTTAGGTAAAACTAAATGTGGATGCCTTAAGTGCTCATGTCATACGTGTGTTATTTAAATTTTTTTAATTTCCCGCGTACAGTAATTATTTATGATGCGAATAAAACGCCTTCTCGTGTTCCGTTATACCAACTATTTATAAGTCGATACGTACACATATACGTTTGCTCGGTCGCAGAGTCACTGTGAGAACTGTATTTACTAAAAAATTCATACATATGGCCGACCAAAATGGGAAAATTTGGTGTGAATGCCAGTCAAAATGTTTTAATTACAACTAAACGAAGCAATATCAAGCTTTGATATTGCATACTCGGAAAAAAGTAAACTGTAATAAATAACAGTCGATTTATAATAAGTAATAATCAACTGCTAAAAATTACCATTTCAAACAGTAAAATCGTGATTTTACTATTCAATTTATAATATTTACCATTTAAACGTTACAATTTACCCTTTACATGGAAGAAAATACTATTTCAAACAGTAATATTCGCTATGTAAATGTCTAAAATGTTAAAGTATAATAATTAACAATTCAGACTTTAATATTTATCATTTCGTACCTAAAAAATGATCTTATGATATGTAAAAAGTATAACATAAAGTTAGTAAATTTCTAATACAAGTAACGTCAATATTTACAAAGTAAAATGATAAATTTTAAACGCAACGCTAAAAATCAAACTGTAATTATTGACTTGCTTGGACTGGTAAAATGTATATTTTAAAAGTATAATTTTTACTGTTTCAAATGTTAAATTCTCCCAAAGTGAGACCCCCTTCTCTTTCATCTGAGTTCCCCTTCTCCTCATAATATGGACTATATATTGAAATGGCAATTTTTACTGTTTGAAACTGTAATTTTTTAAGATGAACGAGTCGTTATTTACTATAGTGACAGCTACTAATCACTTATTTTGGATATTAAATTATAAATTGTGGCTTGTATACTTTCTACATTAAGTTCTGTAATATTTATATTTTTGCCACCCCGATGTCCGCTTTACTGTTTGAAACTATAAAAATTAACCGGAATCCGAGTAAATATTACAGTTTACTTTTTTCCGTAGGGTTCTTCATTAAAGTTTAATGACAGGGCTGTAAAAAAAAATGAGCCCTAAAATTTTATATATTTTTAGTTTTCTTGAGCTCACCACTATATTTTGACAGTTATTTCCACTAAAGTTTCAAAAAAACGGGTTTTTTTTCACCTAAATTGATAATTAATTTACTAAGCAGCGTTTTTAATTAATTCAGTAATCATTCTTCTTACCACCAATGTATTTTTTTCAAACATTTGTTCGAGGATCATGGATTAAAATACAATTTTTCTTGACGAAATAGGAAACTTGATTTTTAGGCCCCAGTTGAGTTATGCCTTGGCACGTTCGCGCTTAAGGCATGCAATATCATTAACATCAATATTTTTTCACTATAGTGCATTTTTTTGCAATGTTGAACTGTAGCTTAAAATAAATTATTTTCACATTCTACCTGATAGTAAGATACTTAAAATAAAGACTATTTTATGACTTTGCAATTATCTCACTATCTTTTATCAAGTAAACAAAGTACAAAGGAAAAATTGTGGTAAGAATCGAAAGGATAAAATTTTATTTAGTTTATAAGTAACGATATTGATCAGCTTATTCTCATGAGTTTAACAAGCTTAAAAGTAATTAATTTCGTTATCAAAAATGATAAGATCATCAAATGTTGAACTTGCAGCTTTTGCTATCGATCAGTTATCAGACTACCGTCTACTAGCGTCAGTATAATGCCAGCAAGCTGTCTCCCTAAAGTCATTAATCTGACAGCAGCATGCGATGAGCCGAACTTTGGTTTCAAATCGAACTTTGGTTATCAGAGTAGATGCAACATTCAAATTAACCAAAGTGTATGATCTTTGTTGGCAACTGCTTCTTTTACTTAGTTAGTAATGGATAGACTTGTTCCACATAGTCTTGCTATTGAAGGGATGAGATTTGAAATGCAGTACAAGTTTCAGAATGGCGACATAGGTACTGATGTTTCAGAGTGATCAAGTTTTCTGATATTTTGGATAGAGCTTTCATTGCATCGAAGTAAATTATTCATTGACTTGCAACAAGTCACTTTTTGATCCTTCTATTAAGAATAAACAAGTGCCAAAATTTATAACCTTCATCATCAATTAAATCGATTATGATTAATGATGAAAATCGTTAATGATTTAACTGTTTTATACAATATAATAAAATATTTTACAATCAACTAGTCTTTTCTTCGATCACTAAGACATTATCATACTCAGTATATTATATCTTCTACATTTAATAGTGCTTCATCAATTATGTAATAGATACTACACTGATAAAAAAATTGACTTGACTCAAGAGCCAAACTCTTGAACCAAGAATACCATTTCAAAGAATAGTATATTACACTACAAGAGCAGAAAGTTGAGATTCCTGCACTGCGCGACATGATGCCCGAGGCGAAGCCGAATTGTATACTATTTTTCTTGCTACCCGGTCGAAAGTACGAAAAAAATTACATTGAAAAAAAATGATGCCTGCCTCCGACATTTGCGTCACGAGCGAAGCGAGTGCTGCTGGTCGGGGGGGGGGGCAGGCATTAAATCCATCTATAAATAAAGGACAATATATTTTTACCATAATTACAAAACTCATTTTGTAACACTCTAAGTTATTAATTTTATTATAGTTGATTTTGTAAAAGTCTTTTTTTTTTTTAATAATAATTAATTTTAAATACACACATGTATTATAATTAAAATGAAACTTATATAATAGAAACTTATATAATTATAAATTTTTCTCAGTAGTTTTACTATCAGAAACATAAAAATTATTAATTATATTGCTGTGAAATACACAGTTTTCATATTTCACATTTGGATTTTTGCTAGTAATTGAGCTTGTAGATGTAGATCCCGATACCAGGTCATTTGTATTAATATTTGAAGATGTAATTTTTGATGTCAGATTATTTGTCTCACTATTAGTAGACGTTGATTTTTTTTTATGTGTTGTAATGTTAGTAGATGTAGATGCTGATTCTTGATTTTTTGATACAGGACTTGTTTCTTGGACCTAAAATTTTTTAAGTGGCGTAAATGGTTCGCGTATACAATAATAATTAAAAAAAAAAAATTTATTATAAAATAACTTCGCCCAGACCGGGGATTGAACTCGGTTCATCAGTTTGAAAGTCGAGGAATTTTCCTGTTATGCTATCCCAGACTTGTATCAAAAATGCATTTTAATCACCATGTATTTTACGGATACTTAATTTAGTTTTGATAATTATTTCTATTTCATGAATTTTAAATAATAAATCATTTTTTTTTAATTTGTCACCAAAAATAAATGCATTAAATTTTATTAATAAAAAAAAAATTTTTTTTTTTTTATTTCATGAGCCCGCCCATGTTAAATTCAAAATTTCATAAAACAAAAAATCCTGAAATTTTACAAAAATTTATAAAAGGTGTTTTTTTTTATAATATCAAAAATTATAGTGACTGAATACTTTTTCAAATTATTTTTATTAACTATTTATTTATCTTTTATTAGCCCCATATATTAATTCATGAAATTTTTTTACATTTACAAATAAAACTTCATCCAGCAATTTTTCAATGGATCGCTGGTATAAAATTTCTACTTTACCGTTACTATCTTCTTTACCGCCATTTGACCTGAAATTCACTCGCAGACTACCGTGGATTCACCACCGAAATACTCTTTATTCACCGAATTTTTACTAGTCATTCACCGTTGTATCTATGTCTGAAAACGATCAAGAGGTCGAAAAATCATCGTTTTTGAGTGAGAAACACATGGAGAAAATCTAGTGAATGTTTACTGTATGAACCATGCAATCACCGTCAGAACATTTCACAACTTCACTTATTTTTCACCGTCGAACGACGGTTGTTCGACCACCAATAGACTTTCCTCACGGTAAAGTGAATTTACGGTGAATTCACCGTCGTTTGACCGTAATTTAACCGTCACCAGGAATCCGCTAGGGATTGTGGTATTTGCTCCAGAGTTCGATAATAACGTAGCCGAAGTTCGGCGTAAACAGTATCCAGTGTAACGGTGTGGATTAGTCAATTCCAAGTATTCAGCAATAGTTTTAGGAATTTGGCCAATTTTATTTCGGTCTACGACTTGTCGGTAACATTTGCCCTTATGATATTGAATAAAAAATCTTTCTGTTTTAAAATCAGAAGGCTTTGATGCGATATATTTTTTTACTCTTTCATAAAAAAGATTTCCAATAACAAATTTACGAGGCAGACCGTTTTTGGAATCATTTATAGAAACCAAGTATTTCCTGCCAAGGTCTTCGACGTCCGCAACTTGAAGTTCTTTAAGTTCATCACACCTGGTAGCCCCACAAATACCGAAGATTAACACAACCTAAAAATATTAAAATAAAAATGTAAATAAATTAATTAATTAAATAGTTTAAATATTAATTAAATAGTAAAAAAATTACAAACACATACCTTATGAACTAAATAATCGTAATCCGGTGAATTATTCAAAAATTTCATAACCTCATCCCATGTTAGGACGGCAGATTTTTTGAGCTTATAACCTTTGGCATTATTTTTAATTAAACCTATTAATTTATGAAATTTTTGAATACTAATGTTGTCTTTAGCTCTTAAGGTTGATTTTAGCATAGAAAAGACACTCCACAGAGTAGATGGACTTAATCTTTCACTTAATCTCTTGAAATATACAATAAGATTACTCTCCTCAGAATTTGATAAAGAATTGATATTGTCTTGTTTCCAGTTTTGGTAAGTATTGTAAACAAGCAAATATCTTTCAGCGGACTTTTTAGGTAAGGTGTCAGTTTCTACTATTAATTGTGCCTCATTTTCAAAGTTTTTACTGACTTTTTCTTCATCTGTCGATTCATCAGATGAAGACATTTTTTTATTTTATTTATGTCACTCTTCAGTCTCTAAATAATATTCACTGATCAACATTAGCATTAAGTAAATCGTAAAAAAATTTTAAGGTTATATGAGCCCGAGTTAAAAGAAGGTTTACTGAAGAGTAAGCGTCAGTACACCGCACTGGTAAGCGTGTGTCTGGCCGCACTGGTAAGCGTGTGTTGTGCAGGTTGTATAGGCGATATCTCACGTATTGAGTATCAGTGCATACGACTAAGTTTTTACTCCCGCTTGCCTAGAGGGCGCTGGTATAGATTTACCAATGCATGAATGTGACACTTTCTGCCGTGCAATCGGATCAGGATCACGTACTTTCGACCGAGGGAGTAAGAAAAATTATTTTCTTGAGTCAAGAATTTATTCTCTTGACTCAAGAAAATCATTTCTTATCATACCTAGATCGAAAGTTCGTATTTCGATTCTATTTTGAGCGAAGAAAGTGCTACATTACCTCCCGACTAAATAAATAAATAAATTAGTGCGCATGCTTCAAATTTTCGGCAAATACCTAAATTCACGTTTCTTTTAAATGTCAAAATATGCATTATAATGCAGATTAACCTCAAAATGATTTGTTTTGCAATAAAATTAATAGTGTAAAAGAGAATTTAATACATCAATTTTCAGCTTCTCGATTGATATGTATAAATGAAAAATATATGAAAATGCATGTGGGTACTCAAATGAAAGCTCTTGATGTAACATCGGGATGAGTTTATATCTTGAAAAATGTCAATAGTTAAGAAAGTACAGTGCAATTTAACAAAAGTCATTATTAATAAAGCAAAACTTTATTTATTTATAGTTCATAAGTCACGACAGTCTCATAGTGACTGCAAGATTGCTAGTTTATATAAAATCAATAATTTAATACAGTAATTTAATTAATTCAATTAATAGTGAACAATATTAATTATTAATTACTAATGATAAATACATTTGAATAAATTCAATAAATTAGAAACTGTATTTAGAATTTAAAAATATTTTTCGATTTGATTTCTCTTCTTGAATTAATTTTTGAAACTGTTTAATTGGTAAAAGTAAAAATAGTTTTTGTGAAGATTGAACATTGATTTTCTAATAATTTCCACCAAAATTTGGAATTATTGTGGCCGTTGATCGCCGAATGACCACTGTAGGTTTCTGGAAGTTCTAGCTGCAAAAACTCAGCAACTATCTTCGGCACTTCAGCGATTTTTCTTTTTCCAATAACTTGGGACTTACATTGGCCCATATTATAAGTCACAAAAAAATGTTGGTCATCAAAGTCTTTTGGCCGCAAAGAAATATACTTGTGAATGATACCGTAATATTCTTGATCGATAGTAAAATTACGAAGGAAGCAATTTTTGCTATCATTAATTGTGACTGTAAATTGATTCCCAGTATCCTTAACATTCTGGACATTAATAATACTAATTTCATGCGGTCTCAGTGCGCCAAAGACTCCAAATATCAGGATAACCTGTAATAAAAATTTTAAAAATTCTACAAACTTTATTTATTATATTAAATTGTAAATATGTACTTACTTTATTCGCTAAGTTGGTCAAATCATCAGCTTGATTGAGAAAATCTTTCACTTGACTTAATTAAAGTTAACACTCCAACTTTTTTAGGCTGGTAACTCATTTTGATTTTATTACAAAAATATTATTCAATTTAATTAATAATGGTACAGCAGTTTGTTTAACAGTTATAACTTATTATGTTGACAAGATATTACGGTACTAAGAGTAAATAAATAAACAAGTTGATGCTTAGTTACAGAGTCAAAACAACTGAACTGCTAAAAATACAAAAATCGAAGCATATGAATACTGATAATTACTTACCTGATTCTAGAATTTAATTATTTTAATTAATGTTTTATCGAGCTTTAACTTAAACCTTGTTGAAATCAGAATTTATTTTTGTTTATCTTTATTTTTTTTTTTTTAACATACAAACTCATTTTAATTGTTCAAATTAATCAACAAATTAATATGTAAGACAGAATTTAATTAAAATTAATTAGTAAATAACATTAATGACAAATCCCTGAATAAAAAAAAATATTTCGACAAAGAAAAAAGTATTGAAAAGTATTGGTTTTTTTAATTAATCCAATACTTTTCAATACTTTTTTCTTTGTCTCAATACTGTTTCTTAATCAAGAATAGTAACGATAAACAAACCTATCACAGTAAAAAATATCGTGTAAAATCAACACAATTTCTCGCCTTCGGCTCAGGTGACAATATTGCGCGGGTTGAAATGTCCTACTTTCCTCCCTAGGTGCGTAATTTACTATTCTTCAAAATGGAATTCTTGGTTCAAGAGTTTGGCTCTTGAGTCAAGTCAATTTTTTATCAGTATACAATTTGTATGAGAATAAATATTTATCATTATTGTTTTTAGTTTTTTAAAAAATAATCTGTAGCTATCAATAGTTATTATTCTGAAATTTAAAAAAATTTTTTTAAATTGGATTTAATTATTTAATTTTTTACCGTAAATTTCTTCAAACAAAAGTTAATTTTTTCAACTTAAATTGTAGCAAAATCTTTTTCATACTCTTTAAATATATATTTTTTTATGGTTCTTGTATGGTATCCAAGATTTATAAAACTTTTTAAATTATTTATCGTATTCCGAGTGACAAATGTGCATCTTGGCTGGAAAAATTTATAAGAAAAGTTTGATAAATTTTAAATGAAAAAGAATTTTTATTGAAACGGAATATTGATAAGACGAAAAGGAAGACAGGAAAAGCTTGAATGCAGAAATGTGAGAGTAGCTCGTATGAATAGACGAGATTCGTACTCGGGTTAAGTTATAGTTTACAGTAGTAAGAGATAAGTTTTAACGAAACAAATGCGGTTTGAACAGGCGGTACAAGATAAGACGAATGCTGAGCAAGAAACTTACGCACTAGTTGGACTGAGAGTGAGCAAGGACATATAGATGCAAAATGAAAGCAGTATACATGAGTTTAGAGTACAGTAAAACGCCCAGGTAAACTTTTCCCACCAAGTTATTCAACGTACTTTGTATTCACGTGTTTCATCTAACTATAATCATCTTCTTTTTTTATTAATATAACTTTTACTAGTCAAATTTTGTTTTATTTTTACTGGATAAATGGATATTTTAACAACAAAATTACATTCTATATTCTGATATTAAAAATTACTACTACAACTGAGTAGAAGGTACTACTGCTTGAAATACGGTCTTAAATTGTTCCATTACTCTACAGCGTTGTAACTTTTTATTACATTGTCTTATTATGTAATTTACGGACGTGAGTTTTTTTTACTTAATTTAAATACAAGATTAGTTTGTGTAAAAGTATTCAAAAAAGAAAAGTTTAGAAAATCCAAAAGTAGATGACTTATAATACTCATTGAATTTTTAATAAAAAATCTGAAAAATAGTTGACTGACAGGCCATCCCTGGAACTTCCCACTCTACGAGCTCAAAAATTTAAAAGTTACCTCAAAAAAACGATTATTTAGAAATTTCGATCATGGCTATAACATTCGAACGCGTCATTCGATTTTGACTTACTTGGCAGCATTCGACGCAGTTTTTTAAGTTAAAAAAGTGTTTCTGAGTACTGAAGTTGATTAGTTAAGTATTTTGAAAATTATTTCAAAAAAAATTAAATATTTTTTTTTTTTGGTTTGTATTTTTTGAATATCTTTAGAATGGACCGATTGACTTCAAAATCCAATCAACTCGAAATCTTAATGACCGCTTTTGGCGACCGCCGTGTCGTTTATCTTGATCGGTTGATTCCTTCTCAAGACATCGTAAGACAAAATTTTATTTACAAACATGCATACATACCTACATAGAGACACAAAAAAATTTAGTCATTGTCAATTATTCACGTATTTATATTTAAAATATTTCGCAGTATTTTTTGTACTCATTGAGTACCAACCAGAGCATCACATTAAAAATAATTGCAAAGAGATGAAAAAAAATTTTTTGATCCTAGAGTACACTGATATTTTTGATAATGAGCCGTGAAAACAATACTGTATACTTTTTATTTTTTCAAATGTTCTGTTTCAAAAAAGCCCGCTTCGTTTTTTTTTCTAGTACTGCCATTTTTTTTATCTAGTACTGCCATCTTTCGGAATTTTTGAAAAACACACATTGCTACCTACATCAACTCGTAACAAAAATGTATCCATTATTAAAAAATTGATGTGACGTTTTTATTGTTGTCACTTTTCATTGCTATGGTAACCACGGAAACGGGTACCATGGCAACGGATTCCATAACAACGGTTACCATAGCAACGGTTACCATAGCAACAGTTACTATGGCAACGGTTACCATGGCAACGGTTAAATATCAATGAATAAAATTTGTAAAAATATTGATTAATTAAATTGTCGATGATAAACATGTTAACAGAAGTGCGCAAAGCGCACTCGATTTTCTAGCACTTGTAAAAAAATTACACGTCTCTGCTGAGAGGAGAAAATCGTAATGTGCATATAAGTTAAAAAAAAAAAAAGTAGATCATATTAAAGACAGATTGGATTATAATTTTCAAACCCTCCGTGTTAATAATAATCTTATAAAAAAAGTAAAAAAAAAATTAGATTAAACAGTCTAACATTTTCAAAGTTATTGTGTGTACGTCTCCGGTGAGTTGGATAAAATTTAACGAAAAATTCATAAGAAAAATGAAAAGAATTAAAGATTTTATATGATAATGTTCATCAATTCATTAGAAAAAATGCACTAGTAATTTCATTATCAATGTTCCTTCAAAATGAGAAGCAATGGAAAGAGAGTTTAGTTTTACTTAGTAAACTTATGCTAATAGTAAAGCTCTAACGTCGTTAAAGTTTATATGCACACACTCATGTGTACAGTGTACATGTGTGTAAGAAGAGACATGTATTTATTGAACATTTAGTAGTTCGTACGAGTTCAAGTTGAGATTGCTTATGTACTGTTACGTTTATGTATTAGTACAGGTCATTGCATGTATATAAAGCTATGTACATTCACTAAGTATGCGAGTTTGCTAAAGGTAATAGCGATTGACCGTGTATTCTCTTACATGCCAGTAGGCGTGCGTCAGAGAATATACATTTACAAAGTACATGCATAATATATGTATGTGTTTTGATGGGGAACTATAAAGTTAGATTTATCTTCTATATTTGATGCAAATACAGATTATTAATTATGAATAATTCTTTTAGCATTAAAAATCATAATGAAAAGTATAATTAATCGAATAATTCGCACATATGGTAAAAAATTAAAAGGTTATTTTTATTTCATAAAAATGGGTGAAGAGTAATTTTATTTTGAATGCTAAATCACTTTTTTGCTAACAGGGGTTGCATAATGATATCACAAATTTTTTTTCCGACAAGATCGTCACAAAAAGTTGCGATTTCTTGAGAGTAAAATACTTAAATAACGACTCTTTTACTATCCCGCAATAATCTCACTATTTTTGGTAGTATAAAAATGAATACAAGAAAAATTTACTCATTTAAAGGTAGAGTCATGTGGGGTAAGTGTGCGCACTCAAGTATACAAACTAGTGTCAAAAATAAACAATAAACAAGAAAGGAAAACAAAAATATGCCTCTGATAGAGTATTTATTTAGATAATAATTGAATTGAGAAATAAAGTCTAAAATCTTAACCCCGGAAAAAAAACCGATTAATCCGAATGATTTAAATTGCGCACACTTATCCCGTACTGTAGCTAAATGTGCGCAACTAAGGGAAGTTCGTGAATTCTTAATGACCTCAGCAGACTGATTTTAAAATACTTACATAAATTCATTGAGACATAACATAACTTCAAATTCTATATGCTAAATAAAAAGCTTAAATACATAATTGACAGAAAAAAATTATCTTTCTTTAGTTACGATCCGCAGAACAGTGTCATAATTTTTGCCATGACAGCAAATTTTACCTTTACGACACCAGATTCTTAATATTTTCTTTTTTAAGTTAACGATGGGTTTTTCGTGCATAAGCTAATTTTCGACAAACAAACCTTTAATTTGCCTGTGTATATCACGAATTTCCCCCACCCCATTCATAAATAAAGGGGTTGCGCACAGTTACCCCGCGTGACTTAACATTTTCTCAAAAAATTGTGAAAAAAGTAATAGAAAAATTAACTAAAGAATATAACCTTTCTATCAATTAAGAGTAGAAAACGTACATATATAGTCTTATATACGATTACTATTTAAATCAAAAGGCAAAAATTTCAATAACTGTTAGTTTATTTTAAGTATAATTTAATTCATTGCAAAAAAAATGAAATTAATCAAGTCTCACAACGATCTGCCGGATAAAAAGTTTCTCGATCCAGGTTGATAACAAAAAATGAATAAGCGTCGTAAATTCTGAAGGCAAATATTTTGTCACGCTCATCTTTCACCTTTAACCACAATATTTTTTCATTTTGTAATCTTGATACACTTGCTTTTTTTATCAGCTGCTTATCACACACGAGTAAATACATATTTTCTTCAACAAGTTTTGCATTTTATATCAGTGTATACATATATACACCGGATCCATCAGTCTTACTTTTTGTAGAACATAACTTTGTATCAACTAACCTCGTTGCAAGCTTACACGC